GTCCAGATTGACATGCAAGTAAAATTGAGATGAATAAAGTCCTTCATATTCCCTGACTTTGAAATAAAATATTGATTTCTCGACTTGTATTTGAGAAAGGACCTGATGTGTATCCTACTGTTGTGTGTGTGTGTTTTTAGATTGTGACATTTGATGTTTTAGTTAATATAATATCTTATTCATCTACAAAGGACTGAAGATCGAACAACTGCCAAATGCATGTATAAGTTTTTAGTTTGTGACATTTGATGTATAATTTAAACATTTCTTCTTAAAAGCTTTGATTAACAAACAAACGTCTATATTATAAGTTCTCTGCTAGTTGCATCCATCCCCGCTCCATCCCTCATCCTCCCTCAGTTACATTTACTAATACTTCATTTTTTATTTGAAATTTTAGGAAAGTTTGGATCTGAATAATTCCATTGAAGAGATAAGAGAACATAATATAAATCTCTTTGATTTAATCCTGGTATAATTTGAACTGCGATCTGTTTTAACAGAATATATTATAAGAGATTTGATTGTATCATTACATCCATCAAGGACAGCATACAAAGTTTACAGTATAAACAAAAGTTAATCATACAAAGTACATTTTAGTGTTTTGTGTTGGGCTGTTTTCATTTTGATGAATATCAATCCAGATGATGACACTATCTAAATCGTGTCTCGGATTCTAGATAAATTTTGTTATGACAGTTGTGAATAGTGTATTTTCGAATATGATAATGAGTTTTAAATGAACAGAGAAAGTGGAAGAGACTATTCTTTATAATGAATCGTGAAATAGGATTATGAATTAAGTTTTAGATGAATAGAGAAAGTGGTAGAGACTGTTCTTTATAATGAATCTTGAAATAGGATTATGAATTAAGTTTTAGATGAATAGAGAAAAGGAAAGAGACAATATTTTGATTATATTGTGTTTTATAATATGATTATGAATTGATTAAGATTTAGACAATATGAAAATGAAAATGAAAAAGACAATATTTTGATTATATAGTGAATCGTGGTATAAGATTATGAATTAAGTATTTGACGAATAGAACAAGTGAAAGAAACTATATTGTGAATATTTTATTTTGGAATATGAATTGATTAAATTTTAAACGAAGATAGAAAGTGAAAGAGACTATATTTTGATTTGTGAATAGTTAAAATGAAGACATCATCAATATGGCGTCATACCGATTGTGGTGGTTAATAGGATTAATTTTATTGCTTCTCGTAAAAGGTAAGTTATAGATCAGATTTATCATTCCCTCAACCAGGTGGTAATGGGGTACACAAATGGCAAAGTCAGGTCCCCACTTAAAGTAGCTAAGTCCGTAACTCAATATCATCCAAAATCTTCGACATTGAAAACACAAATTTTTTTGCAATTTAAATCAGCATTGGTGTTGTGATCTTACCTGGAAAAGATGGGCTTCTGATATCCAATATTTAAGATAAAATAAACATTTTACCATTGGTACACGAATCGTACCATAATGTGTTTCAGTGCCATTTGTAACAAGGTGCTCAAAGAATGAGGCTAGACATATTCCACAAGTCATGTCAAACGGTGATATCATATTCTTATTTGGAGAGCATGCGCAATAAATAATATCGGTGTTGACTGGAATAACCTGACGCTAGAAACTGACTTGCGGTTGAGATTTCTGGCGTATTTCGCTGAACATAACTGATGACAATTCACAGTAAAACGGACACGATTGAATGTAAAACAGTTTATATAAATTAATATTACATTATTATATGCGTTGTGACTCATTTGTGCCAATTTCTAGGTCCAAAATATTAGCGATTTAGCTCCTTTAAATGGTAAATTTATAGACACGATTTTTCATTCCATCGACCAGGTGGCAAGGATACACAAGGGCCAAGATTAGGTTTCCGCTTAAATCGTAAATTTATAGACATGATTTATCATTCCATCAACCAGGGGGCAGTGGGGATACACAAGGCAAAGATCAGGTCTCTGCTTAATTGGTAAATTTATAGATACGATTTATCATTCCATCAACCAGGGGGCAGTGTGGATGAACAAGGGCAAAGATTGGGTACCAGCTTAAATGGTAAATTTATGGACACGACTTATCATTCCATCAACCAGGTGTCAGGGGATACACAAGGTCAAAGTCGGGTCCCCGCTTAAATGGTAAATTTATAGACACAACTTATCATTCCATCAACCAGGGGGGCAGTGGGGTACACAAGGTCAAAGTCGAGTCCCCGCTTAAATGGTAAATTTATAGACACGACTTATCATTCCATCAACCAGGGGGGCAGTGGGGTACACAAGGTCAAAGTCAGGTCCCCGCTTAAATGATAAATTTATAGACACGATTGGGGTACACAAGGGCAAAGTCGGGTACCCCGATTAGATTGAAATTCAACCACTCTTGTTAATTAACAATTAAAGAATCTGCCCATACCGGTAAACCAAAATCTGTCGGTCATCTGTGCCATGTGGTCAGGTCAATTATCAATCGAACGGGTATCAATAATAATTCTATTTGTTGTCCATTAATCAGATATCAGTAATAAGCTATCCATTGTCAATTAATTGTATTAATGATAAGCTATCCATTATTAATTAATCAGGAACTATAGTGCTGATTAGTGTTTATAGTAAGAGTGGTAATACAAGGTATTTAATAATTTATCTTAAAAATATCAATTGGTGAAATATTTGGTACGGCAACTATGTGGGTTTTATTTCAGTGGATGTGATAATCAATACTAATATATTCATGCATTCAGAGTCAGACCCTTACGCGCAATAAAATTATTGAAATAAAATTGAACCGTATGTTAGTCCCGAAATGACCTAGTTTGTGTCGAGTGGATGTTAAACTCCACTTCTCTCTCTCTCTCTCTCTCTCTCTCTCTCTCTCTCAAACTAGACTACCACAATGGTTTGCTATATGGCTTACCAGATTACAGATTAACAAACTACAACATGTTCAAAATTCAGCAGCTCACCTCCTCACTAAAACCAGAAAACATCAACACATCTCCCCTGTTTTGCAATCCCTACATTGGTTCCCAATTCAGCAAAGAATAAAATTCAAGTTACTCCTCTTCGTCTTCAAAGCGTTAAACGGCCAAGCTCAATCTTATATAAAAAGTCTTGTAGAACCCTATACTATCAGCAGAAATCTCTATTCTCAGAAAAAAACAATCTTCTAAACTCTCCAACTGTTAACTTACAAATTAGAAAACTTGCCTTTTCCTATTCCGGACCTTCTCTATGGAATGACCTTCTCTATGGAATAAACTACCGAAGTCAGTGGAACAATGACGTCTGTGGGCCATTTTAAATCTCAACTCAAAACAATCTTATTTCAAAGCCCTGATCTGTAAATAATCAGTGAATATAACAACCAACAGTGCCTTAGAAACTGTTCTTCAGTATTAACATGCTTTATAAATGATATTATTATTATTAATATATACATGTAGATAAAAAGTGTCTATGAGATAATTACAAACCCGGCCATTTCCGTCATGTGGAAGTATTTTTTATAAGAAGATATTTAAATAAATGTCAATCTTCATGATTCTCAAACAAAGAACCCAAATTATAATTTTAATGATTTGATTTCCCCAAGACAACAGTGACAGCGTAATAATGATCGACTGATAATTTCTTTGGATGACGTCTACTTATCGCGTGGAGAATCATCACAAAAAACGTCTTCGGCAACATTGAACCACTTGATAGTTTTGTGCTTGTCGCTATTTTTCTTTATAATAGAGAGCCCATCTGTCATGAAAGAAATGAAGGATTGTTGATGTTAAGTTTGATTATGGACAGTGTTTTTAGAGGAGATAGGGTGATGAGATGTTACTTTGATTTTAACGAGATAAATATGAAAGAGTCGCTGTAGTAACACATCCTGCCATTTCCCATGTTTCTGTCTTTGTAAACTTACACTTGAAAAAACTTGGGTTATTTTGTGAACATTTGAATGTCAATCATCAATTGAATCCACGACATGCATGATGTCAATCTCCACAGGATACAAAAATGTTTGGGCGAGTTCATTTTCAAGCCGAATTGCGGGGTTGAACATTTCCACATACAAGTTAAACACCCCATTGATTAGGGACCCCTCAGATCATAACCGTTAGCTCTACTCCCGAATTCCGATTCAATTAATTTTCCGTATGAAATTGACTTCCTCAGCTGACCAGAATTTTCCAGCGAACCCATCTGATCTCCCTCACCGACTAGAAGTAGGCAACTCCAATCTGTTATGTTATTAGGATTTAATTTCCGCTTTGTTCAAAACTTCAAATCAGTCAGAGAAAAATTAAACAAAAATAATATCATCTATTAAACATAATTAAATTGCCAGATTTTTTGTATAATGTTTTTATTTTTTAAAAAATTTCCAAATACAAATCCCTAATGACTTAAATCCCTAATGACTGAGCTAATGAAGACAGGTGTACTCCATACAGTGTGGGATGAGGGAAATTTTAGTGGCACTATGGCCAACTCTTATTTCAAATTCCATCTGAACGACTGATAGCTGTCCTTGTTAGGTTCTCTGTCCTGCTCCACTGACTGACAAGGAGAAACCACGCTGGAAATTTTAAGGGATCTTTCTCACCCACAAATCCCTATTGAGAGGAAGACAATGAATTGATGCAACTTCAACATTTCCTCAGGTGGGTCATGGGACTATTTTAATATCAATCTTTTTCATTTTCCATAGAAAATGGTGATTAAAAAGCCGTCTAAATCGTACTCTAAATCATTATACTTCAATCTTTAAGACTTAAGACAAAAATCTAATTTTGATTAAAATGTGAAATTTGATGACGTTAAGTTGCCAACCTATTCAGAAGTGTCACATAACAGCCATTGTGAATTCTAAGTCTTTATTTAAATAAATCAGACAAGCGTCGATAAGATGTACTGGGAACATGCACATGCATTGTGACTTGTTAATACATAATGCACATACAAATAGCAGAAGATGATTAAATGAGTCAGAGTTGATATTAGATTTTTAGCTTTAGTAAAGAGCAGATAAGATATGGTTGAGTGAGTTTGAAATTTGTAATTACTTGGCTCTGTCTGTAGGGATAGTGTATTTACTGTGCAATCCTGGAGACGAACCACCTGTCACAGATTTTGTCCAGTACACATTATCTGGCTATACTATATACCGGAAAACACCGACAAAAAACACTGGAAAACAACCGGAATAACCCGAGAACTACCGGAGAACTACCAGAAAACACCATGTTATACTGAATACCGGAAAACACTGGAAAAACACTAAATACTGGAAAACACACTAAATACCGGAAAACATTCTAAATAGGTAACCCGGAGCTTGGTCCTCAGGAAAACACCAGAAAAACCTAACCCTAACCCTAACCCTAGCCCTAACCCACTGCTGGTCCTCTGGAAAACACTGGAAAAAACCTAACCCTAACCTTAACCCTAACTCTAACGGAGGATCCGGCTCTTTGTTACCTATTTAGTGTGTTTTCCGGTATTTGGTGGTTTTCCAGTATTCAGTATAACATAGTGTTTTCCGGTAGTTTTCCGGTGTTTTCTGGCTGTTTTCCAGTGTTTTCCGGTTGTTTTCCGGTGTTTTCTGGTATATAGTATTGCCGCAAATTATCACATAACATATATATACAAGCCTGGACAGAAGGCACCGGTCACAGACTTCCTCAACTACAAGTTATCACATAACGTATAATCCTGGACAGAAAACACCTGTCACAGACTTTATCAAGTACAAATTATTACATTATGTATATATATACAAGCCTGGACAGAAGGCACCGGTCACAAACATTGTCAGACATAAATTACGTATATTAAAAATGTTTCAATGGATACCAATTGATTTACGTACAGGCCTACTTAAATATTCTTGTTTCAATGGATACCATTTGATTTGATTTGAATATACTTAAGGCTCCTGTTTCAGTGGATACCATTTGATTTGAGCATACTTATACTTAAATGTCTTGTTTCAATGAATACCATTTGATTTGAGTATATTTAAACTTTCTTGTTTCAATGGAACAGCTACCATACATTTTATGACTAGAAAATCATGTTTAGTGGCCTAGGAAATTTTATCTGAACAGAAGTATTTCGCCTACTCTTAATTGAATGCATGCCAACTGTCAAAGATGCTTTCAAGTGCATGCTAACATGTTTACAAACCTGTTTTTCATACCATCCGAAAGACTAGACTCTGTAAAAGAATAGATATAGATTTAAAAGAATAGATATAGATTTTAGATTGTATGTGATATGAAATATTTGTTCACATGACCTTGTTTTTTCGTCCCATATGAATGACTAGACTCTGTAAAATAACATAATATATTAAAAACCAAGGTCCTCTGAACATATATTTCACTATAGATTTTGGATTGAATGAAATGTGAAGTGAAACATATCTTCACGGGACCTCAGGGTTTTTTTTTGTACCATCTGAATGACTAGACACTGTGATAGAAGAGATATAATAGAATGAATGAAATCTTCGTTTAATGTCCCTATGACTCATCAATTTAATGACCATTTACTTTTTACAAGACAAGATGGCTACAGAAATTTTTCTGGTCGTTACAATTTATGGACGTGTGACAATTGTAACATGTACAAGAACGCACAGCTGTGACAATACGTGTGATGTAATCAGGCTATTTATAGATTCATTGACGCCTGCAGCATCCGTGGGATCAAGATTTCGTTCGGTTTGTTTCCTTTTTAATGAATTTCATTATTCCTCTTGGCTATTTATACATGTAGTTCCATCTTTAGATTTTTATCACAGCCATATTGTCTGCCATTCATGACAAGACGTCGTGACAGAATGACGAGTCATGCTGTCACTTCAAATGCTGAGTGCGGTGCCAAAATGCTCAGTCATTATCCAAGTCTTCATAGATTTTTCCCCACTTAGCAAATATTCTAAAGAAACTAATTCCATCTTGAAAGAGAATTTTTAATTTGATATTAAGAGGCTTAGGAAACAAAGGAATGAATAAATAAATGGAACTGGGTTTTAACATCCTACTTTTGTGAATTGTCACTTTTTTTTCTTTTTTGAAAAAAAAAATGTTTATTCAAATTCATATAATTACACAGTAATATGGAAAAACGGTAATTTGGATAGGTGATCCTACTCCCTGTCACAAACAAGCCGGGAATCGAAACCACACCACTTGACTCAATGACAGACCTTGTGATCTCATGCGCACACATTAAATCATTCGGCCACCCAACCCCCCTACATGCAGAGGAGGCTGAATTTTTGTGAATTGTTTCATTCATCGATCATATATTATCTCTTTATTAAATTCTTGATGCTAATGAAATATTTTTGGATTGATATTCCATAGAGATATTCATCTTTCACAATATTGTAGTTTGTATTACAAACTTTGTAAAGGATTCAAGGACTTTAAGACAGAATAACGTTTTTAAAGAACTAATATGTCAGAATTTGATATTCTCAAAAAAAGAAAAATGGAAATGACGCAGACGGATTTTAAATGATGTTGTGCTATTTATAGAGATTATAAAGAACAGACACATCTAGACGAGACACTTGGGATTCACGATGCTGATTAGTTTTTAAATGATCAGTTAGCTGTCACATAAAACCCCAACACAGATGGTGTATGAAGTATCTCCCATGAGAATTACCATCCTTTCAAAATAACTGAAGAAGGGTTATGCATGTCTAGTGAATAAATTTTGTCCCCGCATAATGTCAGCCCGAATGGTTAAATCCTTTTAAATTTAGCAAAGATTTAATTGTACATGTCGGACGGGATTAGAATAAATCATTCTGTGGAATCGAAATTGTTCGACTACTCATGCATAGAAATGGCATATCCTGATTCTTGCAGAGAAATAAAGGATCCATTATGTTGAATTTTATCTGGCGCCAGAGGTGGTTTATGGTTGTCTAGACCACAGATATTTTTTTAAAGCAAATTTTGAAAATGTCATCTATTTATACGTCTTCTAATTCAGTGGAGAGAAATGGGGTTTGACATCCACTCGGCACAAACATTGAAAAGAGAGGCAGAGAGAAATAGGGTTTAACGTCCACTCAACACAAACTAAGGCATTTCGGGACTAACATATGATTCAATTTTATTTTAATTTAATAATTTGCTTGCGTGTAGGGGTCTTTAGCAGTGGGAGAAAACCGGAGGTTGGACAATTAAATGAATGAATGTTTTAGTGATACAAGTCTATTTCAAATATCTTTCTTTTATTTGTATATTTGGGTGGTTGGGTGTTTAACTTGTTGTATCATAAGGTCAAGTGGCGTGGTTTCGATTACCCGCTTGAATGTGACAAGGAGTAGGGTCCCCTGTCCAATCTTGTGGGTTTACTCTGGGTCTTTGGGTTTCCTCCGACTGCTTAAGACCCCAATGCCCAATCCAATTATTGAAATAAATTTGAACCTTATGTTATTTCCGAAATGACCAGTGTTAGTCGAGTGGACGTTAAACCCCATTTTTTTCTCTCATGCGGTTTCACATCCTACTGTTCTGCTCCTACTGGGCTAAGGAAGATGGGCATATGCTGTGCTGTATGCTTTGTAGGAAATTTTGCCCGGACAGAGGCAATTCAGTCTACTCCTTATTGAATTCCAACTGTCAAGTGTTCTTTTACGTGCACCACTAACAAGGAGGAACCGCACTGGGAAATCCTGTTAAACTTTCTCGGCCAATGCAAGGATCGAATATGAGACCTCCAGGTTAGCAAGCCAGCGTCTTACCCACTGAGCCACCGTGGCTCCCTGTCTCTATAGGACAAATGCACCTCTTCGAGAAAATAAAATGATTTGTAAAAAAAGTTTCTAGTACATGGGGAATCAGAATAATAAAAAGAAAATATTTTGTGAATTCCATTCCATTCGTACAGTCCCAACCATGTTGGATTTTATAAAATCAATATGGTCACTTAACTAGCTATTATAGCTGATTGTGATCGGAATAAAGATGACCCCTGATGACCCCCCAGAAATCTATCAAGATACAAATCGCTTGTCGAATACAACTGATCTCATTACAGACACAGCTATCGTTTGTATAGACAATCACTGGTCACCTGTTGCTGACCTTTGGGTCACTATTCAGAATCGGAAATTCAATTTTGTTAAACCTCGGTCTGAATATTTTTATCAAGTCTAGTGCTAATAAAGTTGGATTCAGTATTTTTGGTTTTGCTTTAACTTATGACAAGTATTGCCTTGATTTCATTAAAGATACATTATGGGGGATTAGATAAAGAGCTGGTAGTTCTCACTATAATATGTAAAGGGGATTTTCTGAAAATTTCAGTCAAATTGATCCACACTAAACCAAGTATTTAGCGATTGAATTTTGGGCCTAGCCTCGATCATATTACTAAAAATGGTACGATAAAAAACATTTAAGGCTTAAAGAAAGACCTGCAATTGGCACATTTAGCTCTTGCATAATGTATGTTTAAATATTTATAAATTATTCCAATCAGCTTGTTGTCCCATTGTCAGTGATGTAGGATGGAGTGAATGGCAAAAGAAAGCATCTAGTTGTTGAGATGGGATAAAAAAAAAACTGAGGTTCAGTTACCAATTGCAAATCGTAAGGTCATAAAGCATTTAATAAAAAAAGGCTATTCAAAATGATATCCATGTTTCCTACAGACATAACTTTCCATCCAGGGTCGTTTTTATTTCAGGAGTTAATTGGGGACCCTATACTACACAAACACTCACAGGAATAAAAATGTAAACGGTTGATAAAATTATTGAACAAATATTTATGGTTTAGTATAGTATAGTATAGTATTTATTTATTGACAGCAAGTCACAAGGTCCCCGGGCAACAGTCCATACCTTAAGACGGTCCCATTTCCATCCATTTTATAAAAGCTGGAGAATTTACAATCACCCTTGACAACCATTTGACTTCAGTCTGGTCCTTTGTGGACAGGATAGTTCACCTAGAATTGTGTAAGGTCGTGTGATTAAAAGTAAAAGATC